AATAGGAGTTGAAGTTTTTTATAAATTAATTTTTAATAGTTTTGAGTTTTAAATTAAACGTTGTTTTTATTTTTGGATAGTTATTTCTTTGTTTAGGTTCTTAATTTTAAAATAAATGTCAATATTAAAGTAAGTTTTTTTAATATCTAAATTAATGTTTCATAGTAGCTATTAATAGTTTCTCCTTTACATTTTTTGTTACACTAAAATTATCTGAAACGATATGTTACAAAAAAGTTTGCAGCCAAGGGCAGAACGACATCTTTGCACAAGGGTTAATACTCTAAAAAAATTCGTCCGCACGCGTGCTCATCCTTCAACAAGCACGAACGCACTGACTAAAAAGCCGAACGATTAGGCAGCCGACGAGACTACCTTGTATAACACTGTGCGACAAAAAAATGTTTAAGTTGAATTTTTCTTATTTTTCACTTCTACTAATCAAAATAAGAATACAAGTTTGTGGATTTGTTAATATCAATAGCCAATCAGCTTCTACGCACACTCAAATGTCCCAAAAACGCGTGTTTTTGCATATTTCACAGCCTTATAATCACATATTGGGAAAATATTTTTTCACCGTTAAAAGCGTTAATGCAAGTTCAATATCTATTAATTAAAATATATTAAGCAAATATACCGTTAGGCTTTTATCACAATGCTTTAAAAATTTTTTCTCCCAGCTCTATACTCTGGGCGACTACGTATGGAACTTGTTACGCGAGAATACCTCTGAAAAAGCCAAAAAAATCAGAAAAAAATTTCACTTTAAAAAAAATAATAGTTTATTGAAGTAAAAAAAAAAATAGTATTTTGTGTTAAATATTTTCATAATAATAATTTCATAAAATTTATCATAAAAAAAGAAATCCTATCACTTACATCACATCACATGATTGCCATGGTACAATTCCAAGGCAAATGATTGAAAAAATTTTCCAATGGTGGAAAAGCTTTTTTAAGGGTGTTTGGATACGCTTTTGCGTTCATGTGTGAGAATAAGAATTGGAGTTCACAAGTCCCATAATAAGATATGGCTCCCCAAACCATAACTCCGCCTACTCGACTATGTAAACGCTCCAATTGATGCGTCTCTTTCCTCAGAACATTTTTTTTTTTTTTTTTTTTTTTTGTAAAAATTTGTATTTGGTATTAACGAGTTTACTGTTACCGCTGAGGCAACTTAGTCTAGTTACATATAGGAAAAACAAAAACAAAAAAGATCACATGATCACATATACAAATTAGAAAATATCTTACATTTTACTACATTCATATACATTTATGTTATGACCCTTGAAGGTAAATCGGCTGGGTGGCATCTTTTTAGGCGTCTTCTCGTCGGACTTGGGGACCTTTAGGTTCCTCTCGATGCCCCTATTTCGGATGTACCAAGGGACGCCGGAAATTTTCCTCAACATTTTGGATAGCGCCACTGTTTATGGGGAAGACAACGAATATGCCACCCTTGTAAATAACCAAACGCACGAATAGGTTTTAATTATTTAAGTATTTATTTGGAGCTGCAACTCTTCGTTTTTATGTTTTCGATTATGTGCGAACAATGTATGCGAGATAACTAATTGCTTGAGTGAGGTGAGATAAGCCGAAAGCGCGGCTTCTTTATACCGGCGCTTTGACAATAATAGATAAAATAGATAGACAACATAGATAAGCAAAGAGAGGCTTGAAGAGCGGACTCCAAATATGCAACTGCAGCGGCACACCTATGCGATCCAGATTAGGGACTGGCTGTCTGCTCCGAACATACTCCCCCCGCTGGAAGAGGTACGGTTCCAACTATATGGAAGTCGATGAGCAGAACGGTTTGGAGGCGGCTGCCCGTAGCCGTTCAGACCATAGCTACTCTGACGATGCCGTCCTCGCCGGGTATGACTTCTTGAACGCGTCCAACGCCAATTGCTCTGGCTGAGAAACCCATACTCCTTGGCTAAGTGAACCTGTTGGATGCTCCTTAGAAGAAGTACGGTCCCCGAGTTGATCTCCTCAACGGATAGATGGCCATCTGAAGGTAAAGCTTTGGCTCTGCAATTCGAAATAAAACGAAACATGTATCGAAATGGAAATATAGAAATATCCATGCAAACGGCTCCAATTTGAGTTGCGAAACGATGATTGAGATTAGTTGGGACATGATGCCAAGACATTCCCATCTCCTGAATATTTGCGATTCGGTTGGATATAAAAGCGTTAAACTCCCTCGGAGGTTGCCGAATCCACGCCAACACGATAGACGAGCCAGACCAGCAAAGAAAGACACAATCGAGATCCTTGCGTCGCTCCCGCTGATGCAACATGAATCGCAGCTCGTCGTTCGCATCGTCCTGCATGTCGTAGGCTTGGTGATTCGCCTCGCAATCGCTTCGGGCCCTCATAGCTGCCAGGGCTCCAGCCGCCGCCTTGTTCCTCTGTGTTCCGCTGGGGGTGGGTGGTTGCCTGCCTGGTGGAGGCATCGGTGGTGGAACAGAGACATTGGTCATGGAGTAGACACACGACATGACCTTGCTGTCGGCCAGTGGCTCCTGCAAGTCCTGTTTTACGGGGGCGGTGTTGCGAGAATCATCGATAATCTTGGCATCAGAAGTGGACCTTGGTAAAACGATTTTGTCCAGATATGTAGAATTGCCAGCTGTGGCACCAGCAAATGGCAATTTGCGTTGGGCCGCTAAGCGTCGATTTAGCTTAGCCTCCACATCCATGACGACCTCCGAAAATTCCAGCCTTGTGTCCAGCTCCAGCTCCGCCAAGTCCAGCCTTTCCAGCGATGTCTGGGCAGAATCAAATGCCAAGTTTTGTGCGTCAATCCATTTTAACCGCGCGAGAATATCGGCCTCATCAAATTGATTAATATTGCTGGGCACCAAAAAATCCTTCATCGCGTTGATTTGCCGAAAATAGGATTGCACTTTGGCACGAAAGTATTCTATGTCACTAGGGCCGTTTTGAAGCTGAATCTCGTTCACAAATTTAGGCATTTTATAAATCACGCGAAAAAATAAAAAATAAAAGGTAATTTCTGAACGGATTCACGATGCACGAAACACCCTGTGATTTAAAGCGCGAAAATGTTAAGGCACCAAGCGTCACAAAAAGGTTACGGAACCTATGTACAAGTTGTTGTTGTTCTTGCACAGATTTTGTCCGATTAGCAAAAGCGAAAGAACAGCGCGAAATGTTCAAAATCAAACGCCCGGCTAAATGCACTTTGTATGCGCGTTTGTGTGTTTGTGACCGAATGCCCGCAAACGACGACAAATGACAAAGTTTTTAAGCGAAATTAAAACGAACGAAAACTAAGTTGCAGACTCCGATTTGAACGAATATTACGTGAACGAATATCACGTCGGGGTCACCAAAATGTTTATGGGGAAGACAACGAACATGCCACCCTTGTAAGAAACCAAACGCACGAATAGGTTTAGTTAATTAATTGTATATTTATTTGGAGCTGCAACTCTTCGGTTTGTGTGTTGCGCGAACAATGTATGCGAGATATGTAATAGCTTGAGTGAGGTGGTTGATCTGAGGCGAGATAAGCCGAAAGCGCGGCTTATTTATACCGTCGCTTTGACAATTATAGATAAAATAGATAGATAACATAGATAAGCAAAGAGAGGCTTGAAGAGCGGCTCCTAACTCCCTACACCTATGTGCATCAAATTATGTGCTGGCGTTCTGCTCCGAACAGCCACCCTAATTTTATTTAAATTGGACTTCGCTGCACTGCCATATGTTTGGAAAGCGTATTTCTATATAGGGCAAAAGATCGCCTTGTATATTGCAATCTTATTGCGCAGGGTCAGCTTGTTCTGCGGTGAGAGCAGCCACTCCATTCGCTTAGTCTTCTGCAGGTCAGAATGCTTTACCATTGTGGTGTGTGCTTGGATGTTGAGCGTCCTGTTAAGTATGACACCCAGGTATTTGTGGGACCCTTTGTGCTCCAGTGTAGAGCCCGACATAGTGATCTCACCGCAGGACTAATTCTCGTTGAGAAAGTAACGTTTGCGCACTTACTGCTGTTGACTCCTATGTTCCACTTCTTTGCCCAGTTATCGAAGCTGTGAACATAGGTTTGTAGAGGTTGCCAAGCTGTTTGAATAATTGGGCTTCTCGTCAGCACGGCAGTGTCGTCGGCAAACGTTGCAATAAGAACATCGTTCTCATCAATCCCTGCTATCGCCCTTGCGGTTGGCATATTCCTCAGATCATAAAAATAATAATCATCATAAAAAACTACGCGCTTCCACTCGTTACGCCATGACATATTGACGCGGCAAAAGGTCAACCGAGCTTCTTTTCGCTTAGGGTAAAGCAGTGTTTTTTTTAAGTTTCAAACATTTAAGATGTTTAGCTTTCGAAATAACTCGCCAAACAGTAGTTTTGTTCGCGTCAACACCTGCTTTGACCCTTGTCTTGCGACCTTTCATATTTTTTCCATAGTTTTGTTTGTTTTTTATAAAATTGTATACGACTTTTCTGTTTCTTCCAATTTTTTCCGCTATATTAGCTACAGAAAGGTGACAGTCAATATAGCTTTGTATTTGGGTCTGTTCTTTGTGACTTAGTGACGTTCCACGACCCATAATTGCACAAAATGATTAAACTATGTTTAAAATTCATAAATTAATTGAAAAACGTATATGATCCCCTTTGGGCCGAGTTCTCCCCAATGCCCGCAGTCCGACAACATAAAATCGATTGATCGATGTCTCACAACGCAAGGGGGACAATTTGCCCCGGGCCCCACGTTTATGGGGGCCCCGCGCGATAGGACAATCTCCCAAAATTGAAGGCCCCCGCAGTTTTTTGTGCCGGGCCCCAGACTACTTCTGTGCGCCCCTGAATAATACTCCATCTCCCCCACAGAAATAACTTATTCACTCATCGTTACAAACTGTCCTTTAATAATTCATATAAGTTTATCCATATTTAACATTTTGCTTCTAATTAATTCTATCCAAAATTTTATTGCTCATTAGGCCTCGGAATCAACAATCAACCGCCGGATAAATATATTTAGCGGTCAAAGCGGAGTCTACAACAAAGGAAGGGACACTCACCGACGAAAATGTTCTGCCACCCTTATATCGGCAGAACTCAATTGGTTAATACGGCTGAAATTTTTGGTCACATAATCCTAAGGAGCTCCATGTAAAAAGAAGGGACGCCGAAGGGTGTGGGAGTTTTACACACACTATTCCTTTATTCTAATTAATGCGACCTTTTTTGTTTTAGACAAACCGCCGGTCAAATGAGAATCTTTGGACGAACGCACAATAGACTTAACAATACAAAGTATTTAAATTGTTAAGGACTACACATTTCATTAAATTATTTTTTTTTTTTTAATTTCAGGACTTGCGAATGGGCTTCCCCCACCAGGGAACCGCACCACATGGAATTTGGAGAGGTATGTTGCTGGACTGGCCAACCTCGTGACACGAGGTTTCCCTCGCGAGGGAAATTGGCCACTATCGAAGGCACCCCGACATGGAACGGACTCACCGGAGATCTGGAGTCCGAGAGTGTGGACTGGGTCGTCAATGGTGAGTATTTCTCCAAAAATTATATTTTATATGTTCCTCAAAAAATGTCTTCCTCGAAAAAATACGCGCCTCCTCCAGAAATTAATATATTTTCCAAAGAGGTTGTGGGTTTCCTCCGAAAAGAAATTTTGGTTCCTCAAAAATTTTCGGAGTTTTCAAATATGTGTACTCCTTGCAAAAAAAAATTCAGCAGCGTGTCTCTTCCAAATAAATATTATGTAATTCGGCCTCCTCCAGAAAGATTGTGTTCTTCAAAAAAAAAAATCCCGGGGCCCTTTATTGTGGGACCTCGGTTTCCCTAAACAAAATAAACATTTATATTTCCAAAAGGAAAATTACAAATAAAACTCTAACTCACTTTTTCACAAAAAAAACGCGGGGGCCACGCTTGATGGGAAGTATTTTGATGTAGCTATCGTGCGCTCGTGTACTTTGTATACCCTTTTTAGATTACAGCCGGATGTGTTGGCGTGGTACACCCCCAGACTGCGACCCTGCAGATCCTTTAGCAAATAGGCGTTATTGCCAACGGCTTTGACCACCCTTGCCTTTAGGAATTTTCGGGCGAACTTTGCGTTGAACGCCTTACTAAAGTCGCTTAGGACAAAACTCCTGCGGAACACTTTCTGTCCAGGCTTGGCAATTAGCGTACGAGCTCGCTTGTCATAGCGTTGACAGCTGCTTCTGCACCTTAGCATGGATGACCTGCAACTTGTCCTTGGTCTGCATCCCGGCCATCTCATGGTCACACAGAGACCTAAGTCTCCTGGCTAATTTGTAGCGCCATTGAGGAACATGTGATGGCCGAATACGGTAAAGAACAGAGTAAAGACAGAGTTCCGGGTGGCCACTTCGATCTCGGGCAGGTGCACGTCCCACTCACGATGGTCCTCGTCCAGGTAGCTCCAAATCGCAGCCAACACGTTTCGGTTCACTCTCTCAGCTGCGTTACTCTGGGGTGAGTATACTGGAGTCCGGATGTGGCGAATGCCAAAACCATCCTTCAACTCCTCGAAGGCCTTCGAGGTGAACTGCTTCCCATTGTCCGAATGGATCGTTTCTGGTACTCCGAAATTATAAAAAACTTCGTTCACCACGAAGTCAATCACGTTCGGCACCGTCGCGTTTCTCATAGCTTTGAGGAAGGTATATTTGGAGAAGTGATCTACCACGATGAAGATCCAGGCGTGGCCGATTTTGGACCTCGGATACTTTTCCAGGAAGTCGATGTAGAGTTTCTGGAACGGCCTTTCCGTATCTATCATCTTTCCGAATCCAACCTGCATTCTGAAGTTTGGCGCTTTTGTCTCCTTACAAACTTCGCACCCGCAGACAAATTCGCGCACCTGGATAGTCATCTCTGGCCAATAGAATTGCCGTCGCAGCAGATCTAATGTCTTGCTCATCCCACCATGGCCTGCCTTGGGATGGGCACACTCTATTAAGCAGTGCGTCAAGCTTTGTGGAATCCACAGTTTCCATTCAGCTCCATCCAGCTCCTCGTCCATGTTTGGGATTTTCGTGCGCTTGAATATGAGTCCAACCGCGAACTCCAAATCTGGTAAGTGTGTTTTGTTCTCCTCCACTTCCCGAACTCCTCCGCAGCGAATTCAGCGGTCTCAAACCCTAATAACTCCGTGGGGACAACGTATCGGCAACCACGTTCTCACTGTCCTTGCGATGTTCGATGCTAAAGTTGTAGCCCTGCAGCTGCAGAGACCATCTGGCAAGTCGTCCGGACAGATCCTTCATCGTCATCAGCCATTTGAGACTCGCATGATCTGTGATGCACGTAAAAGGCATCCCTTCCACATACGGCCTGAACTGGCGGATGGCTAGGATTGCGGCTAGGCATTCCTTCTCCGTGACTGGGTAATTGACCTGGTGTTTGTTCATCTTGGCCGAGAAGAAAGCGATCGGTTGTTCTGCCCCGTCCTGGTTCCGCTGAAACAGCACTGCGCCTACTCCGACGTGGGAGGCATCGCATTGGATAAAAAAATGTTTTTTTAAGATCCGCATGATCCAGGACTGGCGCTTTCGTCAAGGCCAACTTCAGGCCATCAAAGGCTCGCTTGGCGCTGGGACTCAAGGAGAACTTGGCATTCCCTGTATTTTTCAACGATTCGGTTAGAGGAGCCGCTAGCGTAGCGAAGTTGTTGATGAAGCGACGATACCATCCTGCCGTGCCAAGGAAAGCTCGCACTTCCTTCATTGACGCAGAATACGGTATCCTTTGGATTGCGGAAACTCGTCCAGGATCCATGCGCAGCGTTCCACCTCCAACAGCGAAGCCCAGGTACGTCAATGACTTCAAGCAGAATTTTGACTTTTTTAACCCAATCGTTAAACCTGCTGCTTTCAGACTCTGTGCCACCCGGTCCAAGTACTTCAAGTGCGTCTGGAAGTCTTGATCCAAAATCAGTAGGTCATCTAGGTAGACTAAGACGTTGGTTCTCAGCTCCGCTGGGATCACCCTGTCCATCAGCCGCACCAGACGTTGCGCTGCATTGCTCAATCTGAAAGGTATCATCCGAAATTGGTACAACGGCCTGCCTGGGACTGTGAAGGCGGTGTACTCCTTACTGCTGTCATCGAGCTCGATCTGCCAAAAAGCAAACTTCAGATCCACGCTGGAGATGTAATGCGTCTGGTCTATCCTAATATCCATCGATGCTGGGCAGAGGGTACGCGTCCTTCACCGTCAAAGCATTCAGTTTCCTGGCATCCAGGCAGAACCGATCCTTCCCGGGCTTCGACACCACGGTCGTGCGATTGCTCCAGGGACTCTTGCTCTCCTCGATGACTCCCAGTTCAAGCATCTTATCGATCTCGTCTTCGACCACCTTCTGCTTCGATGGAGACATCGGATATGGCCGATCCTTGAAGACTCGGGCTCCTTCTACCAGTTCGATGGATCGTCGTTCCAGGCTTGTCGTGCCTAGACCGTCTCGCTCGAAGGTAAGGAATTCCATCTTGACTTTCTCTAAAGCCTCTTTCTCCTCCACAGAAAGGCTCCATGACTCGGGATCCTCCTTCGTCTCGTCCTCGTCTTCCTGCTCCATCTGACTGGCATGAATTTCCTCGGCTTTGTTTCCGCCTCCTGACACCGGAACTCCTACGACTGTTGGAGCAAGACCAAACGTCCGCCAAAAATCGAATCCAAAGTAAGCTGCCTGTTCCAGGTATGGACAGAGATAAAATAATATCGTCCTGCTTATCCCTCGGTACCCCACAGGCAACTCAGCTCGTCCGATAATTGACCGGTCTTCTTCGACAAGTAGGGCTGGACAGTGATGCCTAACGCCTCGACAAGACCTCTGCAACCTTTGCCTAGCAAGCTGACACTGGCACCAGTGTCGAGCAAGCCGGTAATTGGCTGGCCAAAAACCTTAATATTTGCAAAAGGTCGAGGATCAACTGACTCCACACGTTTGACTGCCGCGACTACTTCTCGTCGTCGGGCGAAAATTCGGTTTCGAGCTTCCAGGTAGCGACGCATCCTCTCCTCCGCAGGTAAGTATCTAAGATTAACCTTAAAGCTACTAGGTGGGCTAACTATTTTGTTCTCCAGTCTGCCGTTTTTCGCGCAGTCGGGACACTTTGGCAAGACTGTGTCTGGTCGGCCACATCAGTAACAGAACAGCTTGCGATCTACGGCCTCGCAAACCCGGAATCCGTGATCAGCGGCACCGCAGTTCCAGCAACCCGTCCGGAATGGATTCCTACTCCGTCCACGCAACTTATCCACGTCGAAGGAATATGCATCCTCCTGAGGCTCCGGTACGCAAGCTTCGGCCACTCGGGGTCTATCCTCTACCGGATGACGCAATGGTGGTTGATACGAGGTGCGTCCTCGGCGACCGAAATTCCGCTCCACCTCAATGCATTCTTGCCGCAATTCGTCCACGGTAAATATGTCCATCGCATAGATGAAACCGCAACGCCACTTTGACCAACTGCCGCTCCGGCATTGGTTTTTTTAGCCGCGAGGCGAGCTGCTGCATGCAGTGGATGAAATCCTCCACGGTCACTCCCGACTGCTGTTCCCGCTGCAGGAGCTCGTGCATGCGGTCATGCTCGGTCTGGTGTCCGCGAAATCGCTCAAGTAGAGCGCGACGTAGCTGCAGCCAACTATTCACCCTGGACTGACGCACGTGGATCCACTACCACTCCTTGGCACGGCCGGTGAGAAACACGTGGAAATGACGGAGGACCTCCTGCCATGGACATTGGTGCTGCCGCTGCAGGAACTCCACCCGGAAGACGAAATCCTCCACAGCATTCCTCTCGTCGTCTCCACCGAACGAGACGTTCCACCGGTCCACCTTGAGATACAGGCTGCTGCACCCTGTGCCCACGTTGGCATACATCCTATGGTCGCCAGGATATTCTCCAGCCCCGTGGTCCTCGACGCGCCAGGTTCGCCCATGGATGTCCTGCCGCCTGTGCTGCTCGAACTCTAGCGGATGATCCGGACTGCTGCTGGTCCACTCCGACGCTGCCTCAGCTCTTCGCTGCGGCTTTGGCGGAACCAGTGGAGGCGGACGACACGGTTTGCTGCCCTTCGGAATCGCGCCCTGTATCTGCTGGGCTGACGCTTCTGCTGCTGGTGGCTGTTGCTGCCGATCAACTTGCTGCTGCGTCGCCGGAGGAGGCAGAGGGTTCGCTGGCCTGATCGCATCGTTGAGGAGCTTCATCATTTCGAGGATACCGCTTCGGATTTCCTCTCTCAACGACTGGCTGACTCCTGCCTCCTGTGCTTTCCGGTAGGTTTCCGCCGCCTGTGCTACCGCCAAGTTCGCCGCGGACTTCTCCTCCAAACCGACGTTGACAAAAACGAGCTGCCTTGGCTCGACGGGATTCGGGAGGTTGATCCGTTCCCGATACCGCTCCACCGGCGTCCTCGGCAATCCTCCAGCCATCGACACGCGCTCTCCCCCTGCAGCACCCTCTACGTCCGTAGACCAAAGCGCGTCTTCATCTCCTTCGGGAGGACCCATCGACCTTAACTGGTGGTCGTGCCTATCCCCAGCATTTGTTTCTCTTGGCATATTTAATTAGATAAATTTTTAATACCTAATACCACAACAACACAATTATAAATTACGAGAAATATAACCAACAAAATTTACTAATAAATAATGGCAATAAATAAATTTGTACGAAATAAATAAACAATAAATAAATAAATAAGTAAATAAATATCAAAATAAATAATGAACTAATGACAAAATAAATAATGAAATAAATAACAGAAAATTAAATAACAGAATAAATAAATAAATTATGAAACGACCAAAAACATAACTCCTGTAATAAATAATAATACCCAACAATCACCACTAACTTCTAAAGTCTTCGAGCCACCAGATAACTAATCTCTTTTTTCCTATTTATCTTCCAGGTCTAGCGTGGGGAGATGGAATAATTGTCGCCGGTGGACTTCCGACCATTGTACGCCTACGCATCGCTCCAAATATCTTCAAATTTCCGCCCCTATCCAGCCGTT